CATGGAGGGGTCCCGTTGCAGCTGAGATCTGGCCTGACGTGTTTGGCGGATTAAGGCAAACTGTCCAGAGTAATGACTACTGAACTGAGACCAGAATCCGTGGATGGCAGTGTTGGGGCCATCCCAAACTCAGCAGCATCGCAAGTGCAATGCTTTTGTCCCCAGCAGGAAGCTCCGCTCCCAGCAGGCCTTTAAATGAAGGGGTCAAGCTCAACACCTTTGTTCTTCAGAAACAACCAGAAGAAGAACACCCTGAGAGCTTAGAGAACCCTTGTCCAGACACAATTACAGTATCTTAGTTTAAAAACAGGCTGGGAGAAAGAATCAGGGCATAGGAGACAGAGCATGGATTGTGGAGTGAGGCATTTCTGGGCGCTAATCCTGGTTCTGCCGTGGACTCTCTAGGCACATGGGCTGTGGGCTATTTAACCTCCCTCCTCCCCAGTTTCCTTATCTGTATAACAGGGGTAATAACAGGGCCTGCTCCAACAGCCACTCTTTGTTGTGAGTGTTCCTTGAGAGGACCTCTTAAAACATAACAGTCTCCCAAAAGTAAGAGATGTTACACCACACACAGTCTGTGGGCCCCAAAGTCACGGAAAACGGGAATTTGGAGTTCAAGGGCCACGCAACAGCGGCAGCCGCATTCCCCATGGAGGTAGCCGCGTCTCCCTCCTTCCCGTACCCGTTTCTCCTGAATTACACGATCCCATAGCTCGTATCATTTCACTTGGAAAGGGAAAAGCCAAATATCAGCCTCAGCATTTATTAGCTGCCTGATCTTAGGCAAATACTCTTCAGCTCTGCGCTTCAATCTATAAATCCTCTGCGAGATGGAAGTAATAAAACTCTCTCCACCCCGCAGAGTTGTCGTGAGATGTGAGCGACAGCACACCGCCACCTACAAAGCCTGACACAAAAATAGGTCCCCTCTCGTCCTGGTCCCCCTCCTCCGCTGACAGGAGCCATGTGTCTGGACCGGAGCTCACGGCACAAAGACGCCCTCCATCCTGTGGATACGAGGACCAGGAGGCCGGGAATGAAGAGGCCATGTAAACATGAAGACGGCCAATGAGCATTTCACAGGCCACAGAAACACGCGCGCTGAGCGATCCCTATTTGCAAATCTGCACTAACTGGCCGTTACAGAGGGATGTGTACCAGTCCCCTGTGAATTTCCCACAGTTCGTCTTTAATCGTGCACAAGTCCTTCATGAATGTCCATTCTCCAGCACGACAGATAGACTGAGGGGCCCACAAGAGTATTTCAGAGAAATGCCATTCCCAACAGCTGTACGAAGTGATCTGTAAGAGCCATTTCGTGAGAGGCTACCAACTGATATGCTTCTGAATGCAACAGAAGATCACAGCACCAGCCCCTTCCTGTCCTGTTCTACCTCCTCCTCCAACATCAGCTCATGGGTGGGGTTCTATCGTGTTCCCTTGCAGGTGTACCTGTCACAGAAAGACACTCACCTGTCCCAGGGCTGCTCTGGGGGCTTTATGTGGGGTGGTGCCAATGGAACTGCCTTATCTATGCCACCACAGGGTCACTGGCACAAGTGGCCTCAGGAATGTGGAGAGCCGAGACAGTGATAAAGAAACCCCTTCCTAGTGACTTTAATACTCTCCAGGACCCCGCTCTGAGTTGATTGCATACATTTAGCAAACATTTTCCTAAGCCAGGCATCGCACAGGCATGAGGATACAGGGTGATGAGAAGCAGACGGGATGCGGCCCTTTTGAGACACAGACGCTGACCAGCTCACTACACAAAGGCATGAATGCGTACACTCTGCCGTGAGTTTACTGAAGAAACGTCTGTAATCCTACAGCAGCGCAGGACAACAGAACGCCTGTGAAATGATAAAGGCAGGGAGGGTTTCCCCGAGGGCAGGCACACCTCGGAGAGAACTGAGGGTTAAGATCCAGACCACCACAATAAAGCGAGCATGGACGTGAAGCCGGCTGTAATCATTGTGCTGACGGAGGGTCTTGCCTTCAATTTGCGAAATATACAACGTCTGTGAAGTGCAATAAAACGAGGTGGGCTGTACGTGGCAGCCTAAGCAAAAGAACTGGGGATTTATCAGCAGTGGGGGAGGGAAGGCAGGCTAGGGAGCAGAGGTTAACAGAATAACCTGTCCAAAGGCCCCTGGTAGGAGGGAAGGAGCAGAGCAAATTTCAAGATCTAGAGAGTGACCCGTGATGCCAGTGGTACGAGAGGAAGCTGGCAGGAGGCAGGAGCCAGGCTGTGTAGCAAAACGCTACTCGGATAAGGGCCATGGAGGCTTTTACAGAGAGGAAACATGTTGGCGTTGGTCGGGCTGGCTTCTGGATAAGTGGACTCAGTTTGCGGATGGAGGCTAGGTTTCGGGGAGGAGAAGCGAGCCGGGTAGAATGGAAGAGACTCATCTGGGAGAAAAACTGCCGTTGTGCGGGGGGGAGATCACACACGTTGAGATTAGGAGGCCGGCAGGGAAGAGAGAGACAAGCGAGGATGTGCAATGGCTAGACACGGGGTGAGGAAAAGGGCCCTACCAAAGATCAGCTACTGGGTTCTGGATTAGCAACTAGATGCCTGTACTATGAGCCAGGAGAGGCTCAGGTTGGGGAGAGTGGGCAGATCGTGGTTTCGGGTTTGCTGAGAGAGGCCGTTCCGTGGAAGTTATTGCTACTGTTATCATTATTACCAGTTATGGATAAACTATGTTTTACAAAATGCCTTCCTACTCGTTGTCCTGACTGGATTCTCACCTGATTCTGATCTCCCGGGATACAGGGCTGTGGCAGGTAGGTATGTAATTGGTAGGAAAATAAAATGCAGGTGCCGAGGACCCTCTGTGGCAGAAGCAACAGCAGAAGCCAGGCTAGAGGACAGGACACTGGGGATGACATCCTTTAGGACTCACTCAGACTGTATTTTTTAATTCTTTTTTAAAAAGTCATGGAGCCTTCAATTCAAGTGGATGAAAATCCAGTATGTAAAATGATAAACAGCAGATCTACCTGCATTAAAGGGGGCAGGAGAGAGTCGGAACCCCCATCTCCTCCCCTCCCACTCCCTTTCTCCTCCAGCACCTTCTGGAAGTTCTGGGGTCCCCAAGAGCAGGTAGATTACAGCCCTTGGTCCCTTCAGCCTCCCAGCTCTCCATGGATTTCGTAACAGGCCACACCGTCGGGAGCTCTGTAATCTTCTGTTGCCTTGGCTGTAGAGGAGAGTGGGCCATTTTTCAGAGCCGCTGCAGTTCGGGCACTGCTGGGCCTTCCCATGAGTCATCTCATTTGGCCCCTTCCCTGGCAGCTGGTGCTGTCCGACCCACTCAACAGCTGATGGAGCCAGGGCGCAGAACCCGTATCAGAAGAGTTCTGCGTGACAAGCCAGGATATGAACTTGGGCTTCTTCCCCGCCCCCCGCCGTCACTTTGTGTTTTCTTTAAAAAGTAGAGGGAATCGGCTTGTAAAGGACACGTGTCAGGATTGCCAGAAGAAAGGAGAGCGGAGGAGGAGGAGGAGGAGGCAGAAGCATCCTCTGTGCCAAGTGCCGCTCCCCCCTTCCTGCTGCTTCTCCCCATGGTGTTGGCGCTCAGACCCGGGGAGACAGAGCGGCTTGCTTTCACCTTAATTAGCTCAGCAATTTGCTAAATTTTGTTTTTCCCTTTTTAAGAGCGTTAATCAATTTTAGCTCAGAATAGATCGGAATGGCACAGAAATTACCACGACAATCCCCAAATGCTAAATTCTGCACGTCTCCATCAACCTCAGAGCCTGAAATATGGGAAAATCAGAAACTCTGGCCGGCATCTCTGCGATCTATTTAAAATGTTATGGCTCTGAGATGAAAAGATAATGGCTTTATGAGGTTTGGAACAAGCAATTTGCTAGCATCAGCCCCATGCCTAGGTGTTAGTCCCTCCCAAGGTGATTGGAGACAGAGCATCACGTATTTCTGCAAAGTTACATGTTCCTCTAATAACAGCAATTTGTTAAATCCACAGGCATTACAGGGGACCGGCTGTGCACCAGAACTGCGGAAAAGGATAAGATATGCCCTTGTCCCCCTTCCCCATTAAAAAGGTTCAAAACTATAGCAGTAGACAGACAAGTGAATAGTAAACATGTCCCTCTTTTCTGGAAAAATCAGAAAAGGTTCTCAGATGAGGTGGCAGTGCACCTGAGTTCTGTAGGGTGAGTAGGAGTCGTGACAAGATGCGTGGAAGGGCGTGTCAGATGGAAGGAACAGCATAAGCAGATGCTCAAACACAGAAGAGAGGGCAGTGAAGCAGGAGGTTTCTCAGACCTAAGAAACAGAGGGAATTTGCAGGAATGATGAGAGTCCAGAGCCAGATATGCAGGGCTTCTTAACCAGACTGTGACTCTTGATCTTGAGTTAAGCAACATGGTACAACAGAAGGATATTTTATGCAAGGGAATGATATGACCAAATGGGTTCAGTGGGTTGAAACCCTGCAGCTCAACATAATCCTTAATATTTATTCAGCAGTCTTTTAAAACACATTTTCACAGACATTCTCTCATTTAAGCCTCTTATTACCAGCTGAGGTTGGTACTGTATCACCTTCCTACTTGTAAGAAAATACACCCAGCAAAGGCATAGGTTATTTACTTTGTGTCTTATGGCCAGTAAATGACAGTCCATGAATTCAAGCCCAGGCCCACTGGACTCTTGAGTTCAGCATTGACCTCGTGGGGTAACGGAATCCTCCAGATAATATCGTTGACCTCTTTCAGATACGTACCGGGCCAATGGCCTGTAGACTCTACCGAAAGCCTTGGTGGGCAGAACTACACAGACCAATGCACACTTCAAGGCTTTTCAGAAAAAAATCAGATTCGGGTGGCAAACAGCCTCAATGATTCCCTGAACATTTCCAGTTGGGAGCTGAGATTTCTGCCCTCGCTGAGAGCCACTAAACCACAATCAAGTGAAGCTTCCTGCCTGTGGAGACCAGGGAGGCATTGCACCCTCCCGCCCGTACCTTGAGCTCATCTGCATTGTAGAAGTCTACGCGCACGGCAGGCACCATCCAGGTCTGGAAGAGCGTCGCCAGGATCTGCTCGGCGATGGAGTCAGCAATGAGGTGGAAGTGCAGAGGGTTCCGCCTGTGGGAAGGGAGAAGAGGCTGGGTCAGGAGGGAGCACTAAGGCCTTGGGCTTCCCATCCTCCATACCAGAGATAAATAAGGTTCTGTTGTTTACAAGCCTCTCAGTCTGTGGTATTTTGTTACAGCAGTCCCAATGAACTAAGACAACTATTATCAACATTAACTTATGAAACTGTTATTTTTCTCTACGCTTTGGCATCATTTTTCAAATAAAGCATTTCAATTAGTTCCTCCATCCATAGACAAGACAAAAAAAAAAAAAGAGTTGAATGATTAAACATCCAACAAAGAGCTATCAGGCAGCAAACACATATGCGGCGTAACAGATGAGTGAGCCCGGGGTCCTCAGGCAGCTATCAATCTGGCAGAGACACAGGAAGAGAGAACACAGGAACTGAATAAGTGCTAGAACACACATGTGACCTAACGCTGGGCTGCCACACGCAATGAATGGCACATGTCTCAGGCAGCCATGTGAACAGACTGACATAGACAGTAAGCGAAGGGTACCCCTCGAGTTGGACGGTGAACCACCTGCACAACCCTACAGGATGGCCTGCAAGGGGTGCACAGAAGCAACAGGGCCATGAGGATGCAAGAAACGCCCTCTCACTGGTAGAGACAATAGGAAGTTTCCACAGACTGTGACAATTAACTGGGACCCTTGCATGGGAAGAGATGGAGGAAGTTTGGGAGGTAACAGAAGGAGAAAGGGGTCAGAGGGAGGAAAGGTCATAGCAAGTCTGTGAAAGAATGATAATCTTATTTGGGTGGCTCATACAATGACATTTAATCTACTACATGCCAGGGACAGGCAGAGTAAAGAGAAAGAAAGAGAAAGAGAGAGAGAGAGAGAGAGAGAGAGAGAGAGAGAGAGAGAGAGAGAGAGAGAGAGAAACTTATTGGCAATCTGGGACAGAGTTATGCGACGTCCTGAGAACTGATTTGCAGTCTCTATGAGAAAGAGAGCCGAACAGCTTTGGGGGGACTCAACAGGCAGCCAATCAAAGCTGTAATTTGGGAGGTTAATCTGCTTACAGAGGTGTGCCAGTGTGGGGTAAGAGGAACTGGCTCTGAGAGAGGACGCTGAAAGCATCCCTAGGAGGCTGCCCCTCCACGATCTTCCTCGGGTCCATTTAAAGCATCTTCTCAGGAGGGAGAGTAAATCTGCAAAGACGTGTGGCTCATCTTTATAGCAAAACTAAGTGTTTGCATTGTCAAAGGGGCCAGTGTGTCTCCTGAGCTTCCCTCATTAAAAGACCATGAAGATGTTTAATCAGGGGACAGGGGCTCCCAACCCAGGTGACCGGCGAGGCCCTGGCAGTGTGCAGGCACTGACCCAGCAATGAAATGCAGACTGAGCAGCAGCGGCTCGGGTCTCATTCTTGGAAGGTGGGATGCCAGAAGGGGCTTTGCCAATGCTGTACCTTCAGTACCATCATGAGAACATGGGTCCTGTCCACTGCACCTCTCAGTGGCCTCAGAGGAAACACCTGAAAACACTGCCCAGACCACTTTTCTTGGAGTCTCCATGGAAACCTGAATGCTTTCCCTGAGCTTTAACTTGTTAATCCACTGCCAACCAGATGGTCCCACCTTCACATCCCACAGACCCCTTGGAACCAAGACAGCTCTAGTTACAACCCTCCCAAATGGCCAGGTTACTATTTGCAGAGTGCTTGTTCAGTACCAGTCTCTCCTCAAGAATCTAAGCTCCATGGGGACAGAGACTTGGATCTGACCTTCCCTGGTGTATCCCAGCCCCCAGAAAAATGTCCAGCATATTAAGTAGGGGCTCATTTTTGTCCTCTCCTATCCCCTCATATAAGCGTAGTTACTATTGTTGAGTTACTTAGCAATTCCACTCCTAGCTGTATACAAAAAATACATGAAAACATGTCAAAAACTTGTATACATATCTTCACAGTGGCATTATTCAAGGAAAAAAAAAATTAGGAATGCTCTGGCCAGGTGGCTCATAAGTTAGTTGGAGCATCATTCTGCACACTAAAAGGTTGTAGGTTCGAACCCTGGTCGGGGTACGTAGGGGAGGCAACCAATCAATGTTTCTCTCGCTCTCCCCTCCGCCACCCGCCCCTAAAATTAAACATATCTTCAGGTGAGGGTAGGGAAAAAAAAGTAGAAACAACCCAAATGGCCACCAATGGGTGCATGGATAAACAAAATGTGGCATAACCACACAATGGAATATTACTGAGCAAGGAAAAGGAACGAAGTACTGATAGATGCTACAACATGGACAGACCTTGAAAATATTATGCTGAATGAAAAAAGCCCACCACAGTTATATGATTCCATTCCTATGATGCCTGGAATAAACAAACCCATAGACAAAGTAGATTAGTGGTTTGGGGGGCAGAGGCGAGAGAAATAGGAAGTGACTGCCAATGGGTATTGGCGTTTCTTTATGAGATGATGAGAATGGTCTAATACAAGAGAGCAGTGATGGTTGCACAACCGTGAACACACTGAAGACCAACAAACTGGACACTTCTAAAATGTGGATTTTGTGGTGTGTGAATTACTTCCCCATACTCATCTGCCTGTGAGGGAGAGTAATGGCCTGAACTGCGGCTTTGAGAGAGGGAAGGAGGCCTGGTCAACGCAGCTGTTTCTGGGTTTCTTCCTCGGGGAGCTGCGCTGTTGTCCAGTCAGTGGTTTTCCCGTGTGAGAAAGGCCTGTTAATTGTCCAGCTGGCCTCTGACCAGAAGGTAAACCCAGTTCATAGGGACAAAAAAAAGAGAGCCTGACCATGCCCACATTTGAAAGAACATCCCAGACTTCAGGATTAATAACAATAGTGATATTTCATTCTCCATGTGTGACTTCAGAGTCTTAGTTTGCATTTGGTTTCTAACTCAAAAAGGTAAGAGCTAGTTATAATGATCGGGCCTTGAAATCCCAAAGGACAGACAAAGGGACTGTGTCTCCACCCTGTTGTTTTGCTCAGAGGGGCATTAGCAAGGGTTTGACAGATATTAAGGACATATTTACACCAAAATGAATTTCATCTAGTAACGAGAGTAAGAGCTCATTCACAGTAATGAGAAAGGGATTAATTTTCTCAATATACAATTCAGTGTTACCTAATTTTATATCTGCACAACATCTAAAATAGTTTTTTCATCTCTGACACTGGTTATATTATGCATTTTGGGAGTACCAGCTTTAAGCCCATGAGAAAAGGCTTTTCTGCCTGTGCAGGCCAATCTGGGTCCCACAGAGCTCGCTGGGTTCAAACACACAGACATCAGCATAGACATCTGACAAGGCCATGCTTCTGCAACCAAGAAGGAAGCAGGTGTGTGCCCCATCCGCAGCAGAGCCTGCAGACTTGGCTTGTAATGAGCGAGGCTCTCCCGTTCCAAGTTGGGATGCAATAAATACAGTAATGCTAAGAGGCAGAGATGATAACACCTCAGCTTTTTCCTTGCTTTTTTCTTACTTTGTCAGGAATGTGCCATTGGCCCTCCCAGGCAATCCAGGGTCTGTTTTTATTAAAATATATATGGACGTCTGAGCTGAAATAATCCTTGATTATTAAGTTTAGAATGGAATTACAATTTGAAAACAACAACAACAAACAAACAAACAAACCTGTGACAGCAACTTGAATTCCCAGTGAATCTGTTACCCTCAAGAGATCTAATGGAACTCACTGCAGAAAAACACAGCATTCAGGATGAGGGTTTATCAGTGTGAGGTCTTGGTTTGAAGGAGGACAGATTGCCTTAATAATGTAGGATGATTCAAGGACAAGTCAGTGTCATGTCAGAACAGCTCACCATGGGAGAACAGAGCAACTTTCTAGGAAAAATCAAAAGACCTCCAGGGATTGTAGAAGTGACATGGATTCTAGAGTTTGCAGAGCTGAGGCTGGACTCCCAGGAGCATCACCTACTCATCAGTGACCTTGAACAAGCTATTTCACCTCTACAAGCCTCAGTTTCCTCACCAATTTGTGGGGATAATGGCATTTACCGACGGGGTTGGGATGAAAGTCCAAGACAACAGTCAAATGCAAATATGCAATGCTTAGCGTCTGACCTATACAACTTAGTTCTCTCTGGTTTCACGTATACATGCACAACCAAAGAGCATAGCTATCTGCCCGGTTTAAAGATATTACCTGTCCATATTTTCTCTCTTTTTTTAATCCTCACTAGAAGACTTTTTTTTTTCCCCATTGCTTCTAGAGAGAGAGGAAGGGAGCGAGAGAAACTGACTGGTTGCTTCCCACATGCGGCTGGACCAAGGGTCACACACACCTGTGCCCAGACCACGGTACAAGGGGTTGCATACACCAGCACCCAGACCAGGGGTCAAACCTGCAACCTAGGCATGTGCCCGGACTGGGAATCTAACCAGTAACTCTTCGGTTACCGACTGATACTCCAACCAACTCAGCCACCTGGCCAGGGCTATTTTCTCTTTATTTTTCCAAATTCCTTGAGATACAACTGACAAATAAACATTGTATACACTTCAAGGTGAACATTAAATATCATAAACATTTAAGGTGATGTTTTTATATGTATAGATTATGAAATAATCACCATAATCAAGCTAATTAGCATATTCAGCCTCTCCTGTAGTTACCACTTTCTTTTTTATTCCATGCTATTTCTTAAGTCTTACTAGAACATTTTAAAGCCTCCATTTATTTTATACTTAGTACCCCAAAAATACATACCTGGGAGGATGAAGATGATTATGGAGATTCACAGTAATGATAGTAATCTTTCCCCCAAAAAAATAATTTTAAAAAAAGAATCTCAAAATGGTAACATTTTTTTCTGACTGCAAGCTCAGACTTTGAAGCAAGATTGCCTGGGTTCCAACCTGGCCCTGCTCACCCCCTCTGCATGACTTTCATCCTTAACTTTTTTTAAAAAAGATTTTATTTTTAGAGAGAAGGGAAGGAAAGGACAAGGGGAGAAAGAGTGGGAGAGAAAGATCGATTGCTTGCCTCTAGCA